CTGCGGAGTGGTGGGGGGCGGCCCGAGGGGGTGGGAGAGGGTCTGGCCCATGCTGCTCCTGGGCTGGGACTGGTCCCGCTGGCGCAGAGTAGCAGGAAGCTCTCTGCACACTCACCGGACCTGGGCTAGGACTGGGTCTGGGGCTTCCTGGAAATTGGCAGAAATTCCTATTCAGCGGGCGGGGTGGAGGAGGTACTGCGGAGTGGTGGGGGGCGGCCCGAGGGGGTGGGAGAGGGTCTGGCCCACACTGCGCCTGGGCTGAGACTGGTCCTGGTGGAGCAGGGTAGCAGGAAGCTCTCCACACACTCACAGGACCTGGGCTAGGACTGGGAGTATTGTGTTTCTTAATAGCTTTCCATTCTCTGTGTGAAAGCCCCTTTCACCTTCCAAATACCTTCTTTCTCAGTGTATTGTTTCTGTACTTTACTGATGTGACTCCTTTGTCAGACATGTTGAATCTTTTTCTGGACTCTAGACTTTTTATATATTAGATCACATCACCTGCAGAGCCAATTTAATTTGTTTCTTTCTTTTTTGGGTACTTTTTATTTTTCTCTTAGTTGTTTTTGAATGGGTACCCTTATTGTTTTCCTAATCTTAGAGAATAAACCTTCAACTTTGTGAGTGTGATGGTAGTTTTGGGCTTGTCATATGTGGCATATATTTTGTGGAGGTACATTCCTTTATGGCATTTGGTTGAGAATGTTTATCATGAAAAAATATTGAATTTGGTTCAATAGTATTGAGCTTGGTATTGTTGGGATGATCATATGTTTTGTGTTCAATTTTATTAATGTGCTATAAATACACTTATTTGCTTGAATGTACCAAATCATCCTTATATCACAGAGGTAAAGCCCACTTGAACATAATAATCTCTTAATGTTTGACTTATGTGTTTAGGTGCTTTGCTTTTGGGGTGCAATACGTATTTAAAATTGTTACATGCTTTAGATAAATTGGCCCATTGTTACCATAGAATGGCCTTATTCTTTCTTTTTTTTTTATAGGTTCTTATTGTTTGGTCTAAGATCTATTTAGTCTCACATAAGTATATCTACTCCTATTTTCTTTTAGATTTTATTATGTAGAAAATCAAGTCAGCTTCAATATTCCCTTAAGTTAAAGCTCAAACCAGACCATAGGCTTAACACTGTTCAATTTGGTGAAGGCTGAAAGTCATAAGGAAGCTTCAGAAGAAAAGCTGGAAGTGAGCAGAGGCTGCTTCATTAACCAGAGTGGAAGCCAGCATCTCTACGATATGAAAGGACAAGGTGGAACAGAAAGTGCTTGTATAGCACTACAAGTTATACAGATTTAGCCAAGATCACTCTGATTGTTATATAAAACAAAAGATTTTTTTCAGTGTAGTCAAAACAGCCCTGTACTGGGCTAAGATGCTAACTAGAACTTTTGTAGCTACAGAAAAGGATGTGTGGCTCCAAAGCTTCAAAAAATAGCCTGACTTGCTATAGGACTTTCAATTGAAGCCAATGTTAATCCATCATTCTGAAAATCTTAGAGTAGTTAAAAATACATTAAATGTAAAGGACCAGCCAGATAGCTCAGCAGACTAAAGCACCTGCTTAGGCAGGCATAGGGACCAGGGTTCAATCCCCAGGATGCTGTGCCAGCCCCGGCCCCGAGGCTCAGAGGCTCACTGTGATGGTGAATGAGATGGGGCATAGTGGTGTGTACCTGTAATCTCAGTGCTTGGGAGGCTGAAAACAGGAGGATCACTATAATCCTCATCTGTGTAGTGAGAACTTGTAAACCTTGTACTAAATATGTTTAAAAAAGAATATATCTGTTCTATCTGTTCTTTATAAATAGGACAAAAGAGGCTAGATGACAGTACATCAATTTGACATGTTTTACTGAAAAATTTGAAAATTACTCCTCAAAAAAAATGCTCCTTTCCAGTTGTTGGCAATGCAATTGGTCACTCAAGAGCTCTGAAGAGAATGTACAGTGAGAGTAATGTTTTTATGCCTGTTACCCTATAGCCTATGAATTAAGGTATAACTTCAGTGCTCATGTATTAGTCTTAAAAATGTTTCATATATCCATATAGAGTAATTTCTTTAGTTGAGTTGTACAAAGAAAACTGAGAATCTTCTGAAGAATATTTATCATTTCACACATCATTAAGAACATTTATAGGCTGGACATGGTGGTGCATGCCTATAATCACAGCACTTGGGAGGCTGAGATGGGAGGATTACCCTGAGTTCAAGGTGCACTGCATAATGACTTCAGGGCTAGCAACACCCTATCTAAAAAAATTTATGATTCATGGGAGGAAGTCAAAATATCAACAGAAGTTTGAAGAAACTGACCCAACTCTGCTGGATGACTGCAAACAGCTGAAGTTTTCAGTCGAGTAAATTAGAACAGATGTTGAAGAAATAGCAAGACGACTCAAATTAGGAATGGACATTGAATACATAAAACAATTGTTGCAATCTTATAATAAAAGTTTAATAGGAAAAAAATTGCATCTCTTGGACAAGCAAGAGAGTATTTCTTGAGACAGAAAATATTCTTAGAGAAAAAGTTATTAAAATTCTTGAAATTACAACAAAAAACTTAGAATATGAAGTAAATTTGAATGACAAGTAGTGCTAGAGAGGGAAGGGATGACTCCAATTTTTAATTTCTTTTTTAATTTTTTTATTTGTGTGTGTGTGTGTGTGTGTGTGTGTGGCCAGCTCAGCCCACCAGGGGGTGGGGCTGGCTGGCATGTGGTGCTGGGGGATTGAACCATGGTCCCTTTGCTTTGCTAAGCTTGTTCTAAGTAGGTGCTTTAGACCACTGAGCCATCTCACCAGCCCCCAATTTTTAATTTCTACAATGGGTAAAATGCTATTAAATGGCATTGCATACTACACAGAGATCTTTGGTGAAAGGAAGAGTTAATCAATGCAGAAAACTTAATTGTTGTTTTATTTTATGAAATTGCAGCCAGGCATAGGGGTTTGAACTATAATCTTCAGAAAGAGGATCATAAATTCCAGGCCCAACTTGGAAGCTTAGAGAGATCCTGTCTCAAAATGACATTTTAAAATGATCTGGGGATCTAGCCCAGTGGTAGGCTGAATGCATGAAGCCTGGAGTTCAATCCCTGCTATAGGAAGAGAGAGACGAAAATAGGGAAGGAGGGAGGCAGAATAGGACAGAGGAAGGAGCAGGAAATTTCCAAGTCACCATGCCCTTTAAGAACTATTACCCTGAGCAGTCAGCAGCCATCGATATCAAGGCAAGATATTCCACCAGCAAAAATCACTATGACTCACAGAAGGCCCAGAGGATTGTCAGCATTTTTAGCTATAAATTACATTTAATTAAAGCATGTACATTGTTTTCTTAAACATAATGATATTGCACACTTAACACAACACAATACAGTAGAAATGTAACATTTATATGTAATGTCTACACACATAAGCTTCATATTATGTGCTGTATAGCAATATTTGCTTTGTTGACAGTGGCCTGGAACCAAACCCCCTCAGTGACTTATAAAGAACATCATCAGCAAAGCAGTTGAGCTTTCAGGAAGATGAAATTATGATTCACACTCATTATCCCATTAATCTTCACTATGACAACTGAGGTTGATCACTGTTCTAACTGCTAAAGAGCCTGAAAGGTTGTTACCTGTCCATCATCACTTAGCTTGATGACACTGTCAGACATTAAACACAATGGTAACTTTCTTTCCTGTCCATCTTAGGTTGGCCATGACACATGGTACTCAAATGGAGGGGCCAGTTCTCTTCATTTAGAAACCATCACTAATGCTTCTTGAGGGTTTTGATACCAGAGATAAATCTTAGTAGCCTAAAGGGGGATTTGAAGTGTGATTTTCTCTAGCAATCATTCCTGGAAAGAAAGGGAATGGTTGCTTCTGGGGAGGAATTTTCGTTGTCTGTATTTGGGGATGTGAGCTTATCTTGGGAAATAGATTCTCTCTCAGGCCGCTGAGTAACAGGACAAATAACTATGGGTGCCCTATTTTTCTCAATATAAGATGGAGGCTTGATATATGGCCTCAATAAGCCTTCAAACTGATGTGTCAGAGTATAAATTAGGGACTTATCATCTACATTAAAGAAAGAGATGGTTCTACCTTCACAGTCCAGGAAGACCCCCACTTTTGTTAGGGGTTTCCTGGGGAAGATGCTGACTCTTTGGGGATCTAATATAAAATACTTATGTCCTTCCTTTAGTTCAAGAACCCAGTACCCATTGTTGGAAGAATAAGTCTCATACTGATTCCTGTGCACATTATCCTGGCAGACTCCCAAGCACCAACTTTCATTGTCTCCCACATCTACTTCCCAGTAATGTTTCCCTGTTTCAAAGCCTTGAGAGGCTACCACACACTTCCTCAAAAATCTCTTCTCCATGTAGGGAACATCCTGAGGAGCTTCATTAAATATTACCGATTTCAGATCTGAAATGTAGAGCTGCGGGTGAGCTGTGTCTGGGTCCAGAGTCACTTCCACTGTGGTGTTGAGGAGGAGAGAACATGAGTTACTAGGGACAGGAATTGATCAGTTCCCCCCAAGGTAAACTGGTCAGGATGGGTTTTGGTGAGGTCCCAGAACCAGAGTCCCCATTGGACATTGCCCTGCTATCGTTCTTCTTTACTCCAAGGCAGTTCCCAACTCCCATCTCACCACTGCCTGGAGAGTCAGACAGTGAGCTGTGTATCACTACAGTCCTACCACTATCCCTTCCAGTAAGCCTCTTACTTGACTTTGTGAGAATTCAAATGACCACTATTCAGCTTCCTCCCACTCACCCTTTCCTGGTACTCCTTCACATTTTTCCACTACAGCCTAGGGCCTAGTTCATTCATTATTGATCTCCATTTTCCAGAGTGTTGTCTGAGACCTTCACACTGGATAATCCTAGTCCTGTCCTTCCCTCTTACACCTGGATGGAGAAATGTTTCATAAAAACTGCACTCTAGGGTGGGTGGCAATGTCAAAATTAATCATTAGCAGGCCAGTCAGGCTGCTTATCTAACATCTTCTATGCCCTTCTGAAGCTTTGTGCCATAGTCCAATACCAAAGGCATTTGTACCTGCATATTTCTGGTGCTGTGTCAATTCTGAAAACAAGAAGATGGAATGGGCAGGTCAGTACTTACATAGCAAGAGCCAAGAAAAGGGAGCAAGGGTGGTCACTCTTTTTAATGCTATGGAGCTGAGATCTGATGATGATTATAAGGTCTTACTATAAAATATACCTTATATAATTCCCACCACCAATTTGTCCCTGCAGATACTATGGGTTTCAGATTAAGAGCATCTATAGACTAAGGATTTAGAAGGGAGAGGTGAACAGGGCCTATAGGTTGGAAGAACTCTTCTCACCTGCCTCTGATTGCTTCTTTCTCCATTCTGGAAACAAAACACAGAAGATGATATTATAGAAAGGGAATAGGAGAGAGTGTGGGAAGGTGGTTCTGCATGTAATAACTTTTATGTAGTTTTCATAACCCAAAAAGCCAAAAAAAAAAGAGTAGATAAATACAAAAAAGATCAAATGAGTTGAGGGCAATGTCCCACAGATTTTTCAGAACCAATGCCCATTTTAACCTCCCCATGCCTGAAGGTCAAGTCATTAGTTGGATAGAGAAAAGCAACTAGATGGAGAAAGGTCTTGTCTGGATTTTATATCAAGTCCAGAGACAAAATAACACAGATGGCTGAAGATGTGGAACAGGAAGGGCTCCAGGAGAAATGTGTGTGGGAGGCTCAGAATATGGGAATATGCAACTTACCCAGTTCTTTCAAGTTATTTCCTGAAACAGAAAGAATATTCAGTGGTCAACCCAAGATTGTCTAAGGTGCAAACACAACCATGGCTCCTTGCTTAGGTGGACAATCTGTAGGCTGAAGGACAAGGGCTCTCCCAGGACTCCTACTGTCACTCTACCATACCTCCAGCCTCTGGTCTAAGTTTCTCTACCTGAGGTAAAACAAGAAGGCATCTTGGACAGGGTAGTGGGGTTCTGGTACAGGGTAGTATCATCTCTAGGAAGAGAAAACTGGTTCTTGGGGTTTAAACATTTTTTAAAATTTATCTGTCTATCTATCTATTTGTCTGTCTGTCTGTCTGTCTGTTTATTTATTTATTTATTTATTTATTTATTTGGGGCAGGGCCAGCATCATGCACCTGGGGTTCTGGGGCCAGCACAGTATGTGGTACCAGGAATCAAACCCAGGTCCTTGTTCTTGCCAGACAGACACTTAGACTGCCGAGCTACCTCTCTAGCCCCTATGACAAGTTTTTAATATTAAAACTTTCTAAAGTTGTGTATCTCTTTAGTTTGTAACCCCAGTAGAGCAGAAAGTGTTTGACAGAGGTTGATGTTTTCTTAGGACGCTACTGCCAGCCAGCCTGGAGGAGAATAAGGAATATGCCTCGCAGTAGTCCCAGGTGATGTGTCCCTAATGCCTGAGACTAGAAGAAAAGATCCAGGATGTACACTGGATCATCCCCAATCCTGTCCCTATTGGAACCATGAGTGAACAAGGAGCCCATGATTTTACCTCTCACTTACTCATATATTTGGAAGAAAACATCTTCACTGCAATGATACCAACACTTAAAATAAAACAGAGTAACCCCAAAGCAATGGAAGCCAGGTGCCAAGATGAAAGCTGGAAAAAAGTCTCTGAAAAACAATTGCATAACAATTAGTGAGTTTTGACTAATGAAGGCAATTTGATTCTTTTTTAAGGAATTGTGTCACACCCCAAGATAAAAAGAACATGTTCCTATAATTGCTTCCATCAACTTAAAAGCTTGCATTCCTGTATAAGTCTTAATCTATTTAGCACTTTAATTGTGTATAGATTTCAATAGAGATTAATTTCATTTTCTTCTAAATGAATAAAACTTCTAGCATCATTTATTTCTATACCTACTGTTTCAGTCAGTATAACCTCACTGTATATGAAGTTACTGTTTTGCCTTGAACGTTTCCAGGTTCTAAGATATGTGCCATTGGTCAGTACACTTTTCTTTCTTTTTTTTTT